AACAGCCTGCAGGCAGAGGGCTTTTCTCTTCTGACCAACATCAGACACAAAGAGAGGGCGAGAAGGTGGAAGACAGAAGAGCTGGGTAAGAAGAAGCGAGGAGAAGGGAAGTTAATAAATTAGGGTTTCTTTAAAGCAAGTTTCTGGTACTTTTGGTATAACCGTTTGCAGAGGGCACAAGAGGATGCGCCCTCGTGGTACCTAGCCACGCGGGTTTGTACAGTCGTGAGCTCCCGGCCTGGCCAGTGTGTTGCAAAGCTGGGGAGAGTCAAGGTTTTCCCATCTCGGACAAGTTCCTGTCTGAGGAAGGTGACAACCGAGCTAGCATCCAGCTGTCTCCATCCCTTCCTGCGAGGTTCTGAGTTCTGTGGGCCTGGGCCCCAGGAAAGCCGGGGCTGTTTCAGCGGGAGCCTGCACAGGTGGCCAGGAGGAAGTTAGTTTGGGGCAGGACCAGAGGACCTGAAGTGCCGGGTTCTGTGTTTGAAGAAAACTGGAATAAGTGGGGCTTTCTTCCTGTCACGGTTGCCATGCTGGGGGTTGCCATGCCGCCGAGGTGTGGTTGCCGGCCATGGCTGGACGCCCGGCCTGGCGTGGAGGTGGCAGTGGCCGTGCTGGTCCTGGAGCGTTGCAGTGCAAGCGTGGCGGTTCGGACGAGCTGGGCCCCCCAGTGCTCTTGGAAAACTTGGAGTGATCTGTAACAAGCAACTGCAAGGGCCTGGAGTGGGGAGTTAGTTGGAACAAACGCTGGGTATCAGGCCTGCGGGCCCGTGCCAGGCCTGCACTCCAGGCGCGCGGCGAGTCACCTCTGGCGGGCGGCCTCTGATTGACTTGATTAATATTTTAAAGATCATTTAGGAGCTCTACCTCGGCTGTGCTGCTCGCTCGGGGAGCCGGCTGTCGGGGGCTCCGTAACCTTTGCAGCAGACGCGTGCGAGCGCCTCTTGGCATGTCTGACAGGAGCCGGGGCTGCAGGGGAGCCGGGCCGTTGGGAGCGATGTGCTAACGGGCTTCCAAGAGCTTATTATTAATCTCTGACAGATGGGGGCTCGCCCCTGCCACCGGGGAGGGCTTAGAGCCTCGGCTGTGTTCAGGCTTCGTTTCCGGATCCACCACCCGTCAGCCTGATGGGCTGGGGGCTCTTTCCGCGGGTCAGCGCTGGGCAGGGCTCTGGCTCTACACAGCCGCAGGGCAGCGCTGAGACGGGGGCAGCCCCATGCTTTGCTCAGGGCATGCTGGCAGTGCCCCGACCCACAGGGCAGAGGGCCCTGCTCCGGCTTCCACCTAGCGGTGTGGCAGAGACTCGTGCGTTTGGCTCACGAGGGCCCCACTTCAAATCCTGCCCCCTAATCAAGATGGAGTCACTAAACTTGCGCAGGGTCGCGTGGCATGTTGCCGGCTGCGATGCTGCGTCCTGTGGGGCGTGGGGCGTGGGCTTCCCTCCTCTCTAGCCTCAGCCCACGGTCGTGGGTGGAGCCTGGTGGGTTATCGGTCCCTGCGGAGCCAGCAGGCCCACCCCAGGGAGGCCAGGCCAGGGCAGGCGGGCGGGCTGGGTATGCATGGGCCCATGGCTAGAGCGGATCCAGGTGGCTGAGGGAAGCGATGTGCCGCAATCCCAGACCGCGTCTGCGCTGCTTAATTATCAAAAGTCTGAGTGTGTTCTGCTAGGTGCACATTATGCCTTTATTGTGGTGTAATTATGCTAGCTGCCTCTGTTTAGTGTCATAAAAAGGAATAAAATGCCCATTACTCGCCTACAGGATCCTTCTTGTGTGTTTTTTTATTTTATTTTTATTGCTCTGGAGTACACAGTGGGGCTGTCTGTGATCAGCCAGTCTCCCGGTGAAATAGCGAGTGAAATACGGCTCCTGGTGGAGCAGCAGCCCCCTGCCAACCCGCTTGTCCCGCTAGTCTCAGCCGGGGCTGCCCGTCTTGCTGGTCGGGATGGTGGGACGGCCCTTCTGGCTCCCGGGGCCCTGGAATAACCACCCTGCTTCTTGCAAAGACCAGACCAGGCATGGGTGGGGCAATCTGGGCGTCCCACAGCACCCAGTGTGTTGGGCAGGGGGGAGTGACCCCTCCCAGCCAGTGGGAACGCCCAGACGGAGGAGGGCGTGGCTGGTTTCACTAGTGCTGGCTACGGACTTTGCTTTGAGGGGACGGACTCTTTGCTGACCGTGCTGCGGCCTCGTCCCGGGGCCCGAGTCCTCGTGCTGGGCGCTGCCCACGCGGCTGCCACTGAGGCTGGCAGGTGCCGCCGAATCTGGGACGTCCTGGAGGCAGAGGGTGAATTCACCACGTGGGAGGGGCTGCGGGTTCAGACATCGCAAACCGAGTCCCGGGTGGCCAGGCCAGCGGCACCGCTGCAGGAGCGGGGTTGAGACGCCCAGTGCCCCAGCCGCACGGCAGCCCCGATTGTGTTCTGCAGCGTTGGGGTTTCCTGGTATCCCTTGTTATCGCTGCCCGGGGGGGGTTCCCCTGGGCACGGCTCTGGGACCCTCCCAGACTCCTGGGCTGTGCCACTGTTGACTATCGGGACAGCCTGCCCAAGGGAGCTGTTGCCCGCCCTGCGAGGTTTGCCTTGCTCGGGAGCTGATCCCTTCTCTTGGGAGAGCCCCCCGCCTGTCGGAGACTGTTCCAAGCTGTTTCACGCCCTGTCCTTTGCTTCCTCATTGGGAGCTGGCTTTATTAGCCGCTGCTAGTGCCCGTAGATAACTCTTAGATTGGGGGGCACCTTTTCTGGTCGGGGGGCCACTGACCCATAGGAAAATCAGGTGGGGGGGGCTGCACACACGGGAGAAGCACTCCCCCCCGACTGAGTAGGAAAGACCCTTCCCATGTTCCTCTCTCACCGGAGCCAAGGGGCCCAGCCTAGTAGATTTTGTGTGCTCCAGCCCCGTGGTGGGGTAGCTGGGGGTGCACTAGGGCACCAGCACGGGCTCCCCAATTCTGGGGGGCGAGACACTTCCCATGTTCCTCTCTCACCGGAGCCAAGGGGCCCAGCCTAGTAGATTTTGTGTGCTCCAGCCCCGTGGTGGGGTAGCTGGGGGTGCACTAGGGCACCAGCACGGGCTCCCCAATTCTGGGGGGCGGCTGAGCCTTGGGGGCTGGACCCAGGCAAGCCAGGGGCCACGTCCGGCCCTCACGCATTAGGTTCCCCACCCTGTCTTAGGCGCATGGTTCCAGTGTACGGCAAAGCGGGTTAGTTCCTCAGTCACACGCCGTCTGAGCGTGCGCCTGGGGCCTGCGGGCTGGCTGGGCTGCCCACTCCCTGCCCGGCGTTCCCTGCTTTCCTGTGCTTCCCGTGCCTCAGGTGTTCCTTGAAGTGGCCTTCACAGTTTTGTGCCCTGCCAGCCAGCGCGTGCGTCAGCGGGAGATGGACTCGCCTAGGTAGCACCTCCCCTCAGCTTCATTGCATATGCACATGCTGTCTGCCCGGGCGCGGGACGCGGGGGCTGCCGAGAGCCATCATTGATTAAGAGGGTAATTGTCCTGAAAACGCAGATTGATCAGGAGGCAGGAGCGAGCAGTCGGGCGGGTGCGTTCAGACCCGCGGGCCTGTCGCCGGGGGAGAGAAGCGGGTGCGTGAGGCGGCGTGGCTCGGGGGGGGGAGGAGCCATTCTTCTTTGGGGTCCGTCTCAGGATGTTTCTTGTCACTGACGCTGGGCTATTGGAGATTCAATCACTTTTATCTCCCCCTCTCTCTCACTCCAAATGCCTTTTCAGATTAGAAAATTAGAATCCGCTCTGCTCATGCAAGATTTATTAGCTCTGCTGAGCAGTAGCACCGAGGAGTAAATGATGTCGCATTTCAGGGGCTTTTTACACATTATGACCAAACTCACAACTTCTTAAGTATTCTCCCACTGAGCCACTGCGGGGCGCGAGGGGGGGAGCCTCACACCGCCCTGCACCGCTTCAGCCGTCCCTGGGTAGGCGCATGAGGAGCCCGGGGCGCTAACGGGACCCGTCCCTGGTTCTGGTTCTGCACTGACCTCCCTGCAGACAGCCCCCTGGGAACTGAACACACGCCAGCACCTAATTTGGACCCTCCCCCTTACCAACACTTTCCAGTGCTAAAATGTTTGTGTGCTGCTCTCCCTGTTGGGAACCCACGCTTACGCCCTGGCCGCTCGCCTCTTCCCTTGCACTTTGCAGACACCAATTTTTCCACCTTCTCGCTTTGCATCTAACAGAGCTTAAATAATGCACAATGATGGTGCCCTTGGAGCAGAACTTGGGGCTGCGGGCATTGGAAGGGCGGGCGCCAGCGCCCTGAGCCCCACGGGTCGCTGCACGGAGGGTAGTATTGTGGGGAAACTGAGGCACAGGGGACTTGTGACTCTTCAAGGTCACTCTGTGAACTGGCGGATGTTCCTGCCTCCTGGTCCGTGCTGGTCAGACTTACTGGTTTCCAAGGGTATATCTACACTAGCTCGTTAATTCAAGCTAGGTAGGCAAATGAGGCGACCGGAGTTGCAAACAAAGCCTGGGATTTAAATATCCCGAGCTTTATTTGCATGTTCCCGTCCAGTTGCCATTTTGAAATTTCACTAGCCCGAACTCACTGCTGTGCAGCTACACGTGGCAGTGAAACGCTAATTCGAACTAAGTCCTTAGTTTGAATTAACTGTTACTCCTCTGAGTAACTGAATGAGAAGTAACAGTTCATTCAAACTAAGGACTTAGTTCGAATTAGCGTTTCACTGCCACGTGTAGCTGCACAGCAGTGAGTTCGGGCTAGTGAAATTTCAAAATGGCAACTGGACGGGAACATGCAAATAAAGCCCGGGATATTTAAATCCGGTCGCCTCATTTGCCTACCTAGTTTGAATTAACAAGCTAGTGTAGACGTACCCCAAGGGTTTGCCAGCCTCAGCCCTGGTACACCTGCGTGAGTGGGGTGCACTTCGCAGGGGGCGGGCGGGCTGACGTCACAGCAGTGACGCCCCAGGAGTTCTAGGCCGAGACCCTCAGACCAGATTCCTTTGTACCCCAGCCAGGCTGTTCTGCTGAGCTCTGAGCACCCAAGAGAGGCCGTCCATGAGGCCAGAGCACTCTTTGTGCAAACACTGTCCAAAAATGGAGGCGAGTGTGAAGAGGAACACCACCTTACGGCTCCCAAAGAGGAAGAAAGCCCCATACACAGCAGCACCCTGCCGGGACGCCAGCGGGCCTTTCAGCTAGGGCGACCGGCGTGGCAAGGCTGGGAATCGGGTATGGCACAGGGATGGGAATGGCTAATGGGTGAGTCTCACCCTCGTGGGGTGAGGTTCACTGCTCTGGTTAGCTAGTGGGGGCTGGAGCAGCTGCCCCGATGGCGAGGGGGAGGAGAGGCGCTCCAGCCCAGCTGGACTGCCCCCTTTACTCGCTTATCCAGGTGCACACTCGGTGTGGCCGCTTAGCCAGTTCAATGGGGTCTCCTGTCCCTAGCGCCGAGGGAGCTGGGTGGTTCAGATTTTTGCCGCCGGTCGTTGCCACATCCCTTGCCTTGGCATGGAGACCTGGGAGCCTACAGCTGAGGTTTCGTGGGCCCGGGCTATGGCTGTGCACACCTTTTGGGGGGCTCTCCCCTGTGGCTGAGACTGGCGTAGACAGGGCTCCGGGCAGCGCAGACCACAGGGCGGTAACACGCCTGCTTGTGCGCATCAGCGCTAACCTAGGTGGAGCGCCTGTTGCCGGAGCAGCTGGGTGGGGTCTCCCAAGAAAGGCTGGGGTTGCGAGCGCCACCGAGGGGCTGAGCAAGAGGGCACTCAGCTCCGCTCCAGGCGGGGCCCCCGGGGAGGTGATTCTATTAAAAGCCCCTCTAGCGACGTGTGAGACGGCGCCAGCTTGTTCCCTTCCTCGGGACTCCAAACACAGCCGGAACGGCCGTCAGACCCTGTGCCGGGAATCTCAGCCGGGGCTGAGTAGCGCTTAAATATGGAGGGAGGAGACGCCCCCCTAGAGTTCACCGGCTTTTAAAGACCCGACAAATTTGGAGGGGCAAGGAGAAGTATTCGCCTTTTTTTTTTCGCTTCAAGTTCTTAAGTCTATGGAAGGGTATTAGCTGCTCACTCCTCTGCATGCTAAATGTGCTGCTGCTTTGAAGAACTGGAAGTGGAATACAGCTAGCAAGTGGGCCAGCTGCCATGGGAGTTTTCCTGCCCTGCGTCTCCGGTTGCCTTCGGACCGGTCTGTGAGCCTGGGTCTGCCCTGTGCTCTGCTTCACGTCGAGGTGTCGTGACGTTGGGTGCTCGTTACAACAAGGAGCAGAGACTCACCTGAGGCCTTCGGAGAGAGAGGATCTCCCTGAGCTCCAAGTGGCCACACGGATGCTTCTGGTTTCCCGTTGAAATGCTAAAGAACTCGAGCCTGGCATGGGCACGCAAGTCGTGGTCTCTGGCGGCAGAGTGTGCGATGGGCGATGCTCCGTGTGTATGCAGACACTCTCCAGCTGCAGGCCTTGCGAGGGGAAATTCGTGGCCTTGAGGAATGCCCCCACGAGGCCTGGGCACCACGCACGGTGTCGGAGATGCCTCGCCCGTACGCAGCCTGGCTGCATGGGGATGGATTGATTTCACCCTGGAAGCAGAACGTGGTATTCTCCCGTCTTTGGCTCCCCCTCGGTTTTTCAGGAGCTGCCTGCGGGAGTTGAGAGAAACCCTGCATATTTTCCGCTGGCCCTGCCGTCCTGCCGCAGGGCCTCCATGCCAGTTCTCCGCGTCCCTCGAAGGGAGTGGCGCTGTGACGGCAGCCGGCGAGCCAGGGAGGGCAAGAGCCGGCCCGTGTTCCGGGAATCACGTCAGCTGTCATTCTGTACATTACCTTGATTGGGAACAGTCACTTGTGTCCCCATCCATCATCGTGTCTCTCGCGGGAGACGTCGGGGACGGAGAAGGGGCCCGGAATTATGAGGCATGTCTCCGGGTGCCCAGCCAATCCCGCGGCTCCGTTGGCCCAACAGCTGTCATCAGCCTGCTGTGATGGATCGGCCCATTGCAGCTCCGCGGGAAGGGAGCCTTCGGCCGCGATGGACTGTTCCATTGTAATTGCCTTTGCGCCAGGAGGAGCGGCGGGGCCTGCGCTGGGGACCCCAAGGAAACAGCTGGGAAGCGCTGGGCTTGCGGGGCAGGCTCAGGATGCTGCTTTGCCTCTCCCGCGGTGGGGGTGGTGCTGTCTACTGCTGAGCAGCGTGGGGCAGGCCAGATGGGTAGCACAGGCCCCTGGGTTGGGCCGGAAGAGGCTGCCAGGCTGCTGAAGGCAGGTGTTAGCTATGCGCACCGCCCCGCCTGCAGGAACTCCCCAAGAAGAGCAGCTCTCCGTGGGCCTGTGAAGGCACCCGGCCCCCCACATCACCCATCAGACGTACAAACTGCCGAGCCCCCCGCCATGGTACCAGGAGCGGCAGAGCAGACCTGCAGGATTCAGGGCGGGGGGCACAAGACGTTTTAATCGTAAATCGTAAGGATACAACTTTAAATCCTGCTCCACCAGGGCTAGACTGCGGCAGCCGCTCCCCGCTGTCCCAAACCGCCTGCTCCCAGCCCTAGCGGGTCAGGAGGAAATGGACTGTACCCGTCTCTGGCCTAGGAGGGAGCTTTGCCCGGTTGCCGGTCAGAGCAGTGGAATTGGAGCAGAGGAATGAACCACGTGAAGGGTGCCCCCTTCTCTCCCTGGGCCACGTTCTGCCCGGCATCGCGGTGGGGCTCTCGCGCTGCTTGCAGGGGGCTAGGGGAGTGCAGGAAGGAAAGGGTTCCGTGGCAAACGGCAGGGCCCTGGTTTATCACAGCACCCGTGTGCCGCGCACCCGGCCCTGCCCGCCAGAGGTTGGCTGAGCAAAGCGATACTTCGGTGAGCAGCCGGCGGGGTTATTGAGAGGCCGAAGTGTTGGGGGGACCGGCCCATGGGCTGCAAAACCTGCGGCTGTGTCTGGTGGGGGGGGGGGAAGTCTGGCACGTTGGGCGAAATCCAGGCCACACTGAACATCCCCCGGCGTCAGTGGGGCCCGGCTCTTGCCCTTCGTTGCGCTTTCAGCATGGGCGTGGGAGGTTTGCAGTGGCGTTGGCCGGCTCCCGGGGGTAAGGCTGCCGGGGTTTGAGCTGTAATCACTGGCTCTGCGCCACCTAACGGGCTGCACCCCCGGAAGCTGCCGCCCCCATTTTACTTCACTTCTATCGTTTCTTATTTCGAAATCGAGGCTCCATCACCCTGGATGGTCCTTGTCTCACAGCCTGTACTGAATAAATACAGGAGCATGGTGGGTACGTGCGGCCCGTGGGGAGCGGGGAGGAACAGCCAGGAGGTTAGAGAAAAAGGTGCATTTCCGCGGTGACATAGTAGTGAGTCTGGTGAGTAAATATGTGCCACAAACACCCTCTAACACCTCTGCTCAGGCCCCGCAGGCCCGGGCAGCCAGCCTGGCCTTGGGAGAGAGGAAAAGGAGAGCGGAGGTTCAGTTAACGTGTCTGTTTTCTCTTCTCTTTTCTTCCTTTGGCCAGCTCTGGCTGCAGAGAGGAGTTTTCTGTTTGAAGTTCAGAAGGGAAGGGAAATCCATTGTTAGAAGAGGAGACTTTCTTTTCACTTGCTCGCTATCGCCAGCGCCACAGAGGAGAGAGATTTGCTGCGATAAAAGCAGCATGAATAAAATGGGCACCTGAGTGTTGCTATTTTCTGTACATCAAAGGCTGCTGGGCTACGGAGCAGTTTCAAACCCAGCCAGCTCCCGGCTACGCAGCCGTGGATGGTCACTGCACAGATGGACCTTCCTCCCTTTCTTTTCACTTGCTCGCTATCGCCAGCGCCACAGAGGAGAGAGATTTGCTGCGATAAAAGCAGCATGAATAAAATGGGCACCTGAGTGTTGCTATTTTCTGTACATCAAAGGCTGCTGGGCTACGGAGCAGTTTCAAACCCAGCCAGCTCCCGGCTACGCAGCCGTGGATGGTCACTGCACAGATGGACCTTCCTCCCGGGCGCGTGTGGCAGGGCCTGCGGGGCCCCCGCCGGGCGCCCCGGCCGGCAGCGTGGTGTGTGCCTCGGGGCCGGTCGCCCCCGGAGCGGGCAGCGCAGGGTGGATACCGGGTCTTACCTCAGGGCCGTGCGGGCGCCATGGCTGGGCGAAGAGCCTGCAGAGAGTTGCCGCCCCAGGCGGGACTTGAGCAGGGAGGGGTCGGCCGAGCGGAGAGGCGCGCTTGCTAATTACAGTGGCATGCCGCGTCAGAGCCCCGGTGCAGCGCCAGCCAGGCGAGGTCACCCCCGCGGGGGGCGCGTGAGTAGAAGGAACAAACCCTTCTGCAGCCCTGGAGGCCAGCAGCAGAGAGCTCACAGCTCCCTCCCACCGCTGCTGGGCAGCATCCCCGCCCCGCCAGCGCCTGCCTTGCTGGCGGCAAACCCCTGTGCCTTGCGCCACATCCCCGGGCTCCGGCAGCTGTGGGCGTGCAGACGCCAAGGCCCCTCAGGCTGCCCCGGCCACTGGCCTTGGTATCGGAAGGGCCTGCGCCGGGTGTCGCGGGACGACTAAGACTCTGGCTTGCGTCAGAGGGACCCACCGCTACTGGGAATTCAATGGCCAGTCCGTGGGCCCACTGAAGTGTGTGCGCAGGCCCTGGGCTGCCCCCGGGGGTCGCGCTGAGAGCTCTGAGGGGGGCGGGCCACTGGGCGAGGGGGTTTCCCTCAGAAGCTTGTGAGCGGTGGGCCTGCGGAGGTGTTGAGGCCGGTGGGACCGGCTAGTGGAGGCCCGGCACAGAAGATGGTTGAAGGAGGGAAGGTCTCGTCCGCTTGGAAGCGGGCCTGCTGTCTCAGGCTGTCCGGCGCGGCTCTGGGGGCAGGCCACCTTCTCTGGCCGTGCTGGGCCCTGCTTCAGAGGGTAAAGCTGGGGAAAGGGCATGGACGGCTCTGCCCACGCGGCTGACAGGGACTAACTCCTGCGCACTCGGTGCTGCTGTCCCACCCCGTCCGTCTCCCTGCCCCGTCCCAGCCCTGAGCACCTCCCCCCAGCTCCGCCGGCGCCCCTCCCTTCGGAGCTGCAGCCCCCCTGCTGCTACCACCCCC